TGACCTTGCACACACCCATGCGCATGGGGACGAGGGCAGCACTTAGCTCGGTTTTGGAGAGATTCTTGGTGGGTTTTGCAGAGAATATTGGCCATGAGAACGTGGTCCGGTGGCAGGAGCAAGACACCAGCACTAAGGGGACAAACTCTTACACAAAGCCATTAAAATAATAGACCACCCATACTCCACTTTGCATGCCCATTGTGGCTGACTTTGCTAACACTTGTTTAGGGCTAATTAACCTGAATTAGACCCTCATTAATCCCTTATTACTCGCCACTCTTGGGCCATGAAAGAAGTGGGCCGGAGCTTTGTCATTTGGGCTCAAGGAGGTGGGCTGGCAGGCTGCCGCGCTGGGCTGGGCGCTGGCTGCTGGGGCGCGGCACTGGGCCTGGGCGCGAGGGCGTGTTGGGCTGGCGCGGGAGGTGGGCTGCGCGCAGGAATGGAGTCTTGGGCCTAGCTCCTCACTTGTTAAGGCTTCCATGGTTGTCTCCCATACTTAGAAAAATATTAGGACTAATGTGCTATGGCTAGGACAAGCCTTGGGCTCGGTGGCATGTTCTTGGGCGCGGCTCGAGGCGCGGGTGTGGGACTCGGCACGAGCGGCTCGGGTATGGACTATGGCTCGATTTTTAAAATTTCCAAGGCTTGAACTTTGGTATTCCCACACACTTAGAAATTATTCTAAGTATAAAATATACCAAGACTTGGCTATGCTCGGAAAATAACTTGAAAAATAATCGGAACTAAACTAGGGTTCGAAGCCGATAATTTCTCGAGTCGATTTGCTATAATTTAAACAATCCAAATTAATGGATTGATCTTGACTTATACTTAATATAGAGAATTCCCAAGAATGATCTATCAAACTTAGGAATTAATTGAGCATTTAGCATATATAATATAACTTGAAAATTCTAAAACTTACGGATTTCACTTATAGTCGAGCAGTGAAACCGTTCTTAATATTATTTCTGATTTGGGGTGTTACATAATCTCATGAATGGAAGGTCTATATATATATATGTGTGTGTGTGTGTGTGTGTGTGTAGGGTTTAGTAGACTTTGTATCAATTTAGGATTCTTAAGTTGGCTAGGAAAAGGATTTCTTTGCTTGGTAAGGAAGCAAAATACATGAAAAATATCTAGAATAATCCCTCCCCTCTATTCTTGACATTTTCCACGTGAAAGGTAAGGGGAGGGCCGATTTTTTATGCTCAATATATCTTAGATTAATATTTCTGCTAATTACTGCTAAAGTTTTAATTCATTAATTTTTATTAAAGAAATATAATTAAATAGATGAGGACATCTACCTAATTCCTTATCAATAATTTATAATTAAATAAGTGAGGACACTTATTTAATTATTTACTAACATAAAATGTTGAGGTCACGATAAATAAAATAAGAACAACATTACCATTAATAAAATCATAAATAATCATGAAAAATACTAAATATGCTTAAAATGAACGACACGAGTACGGGGCATCACAGTATTAGTAATTGTTACACCTTAATTATACTTTTAATATTATTTATAAGATTTAATATTTTTTACTTTATATTGTTCTTTTGTATGTTTTAAATATGTGTATATTATATATTAACTTCTAGGTTTTCTAAAAAATGCATAAGAATAAGTATAGAATTTTTTCGATCATATGTTTTATTATATCAACTAATTGTATATCTTACATTATATATAATTACAATTTTTTCATTAATATTATACTTAAATATACAAATTTTTCATTTCGTACATTTTTTTTAAGAAAAACACTGCATTATTATAATAATACATATTAATAGATATATGAATAATGGTAATATATCGATATAATTTCTTGGTAAAATTAATTAATTTTCAACGTGTATTGGCATATCAGTAGATAATCGCATGATCAAAATTAAATCATGTTGCTCAATTGGTATCTTATTCGATTTGAAAACAAATAGATTGAGTTTTAGTATTATGCAATTTCACTAAATTGTTCTAATCTTGTTTTAAGCTAAGAAATTGAGTAGATTAGAAGTTTAGGTTGCAAAACTATCATCCAACAATTAATCTCTCTCATTGTTCAATGAGGAGGATAGTGCTAGCATCCTTCAGATCAAGAACTTTGACCCTTGTAAGAAAGACAGATGGGTGTAGAACAATGAATTAAGGAGACTTCTCAGTTGTCAGAGCCTACTCAAAGTTTGTGGAAGATAAGTTTAGAAGATTAGATGTAGCAGAAGGTAGCAAGTCAGCAGGGTTACTTAGGAAAATCAGGACAAGAACCTGAAAGCTTAAAATCAAAGTCAAGCTGAGACATTTTCCTTGGAAATGCTTTTCAGATGCTCTTCCTGTCAAGTCTGTGCTTATAAAAAGAGGCTTGCTGGTGGATGGCATTTGTCAGTCTTGTGGTGAAGATAGAGACAATCGACCACATTTCTTTCATTGCAGTAGAGCCAAAGAGGATTGGAAAGCTGCTCCAGTCCAGTGGGAACTAGCTCATGGTTCCAAAACTAAGTTCAGAACCTGGTGGGGTGATGTGTGCTCAGTCAACAGGATTGAAGTAGCAGAAGCTAGAATAGAACTAACCACATACCTACTATGGTAGTTATGGAAGGCGCGTAACCTGTGGATTTTAAAAAGGAGTGGATTCCAGCACTGTTCATTGTCAGGTTGGCAGTGAGTGACTGGCAGGAATTTGCAAAGAGAGGCTCCAGATAGTCTTATGATGTGCTGAGGAGGAGTCTAGGTCCGGTTGGCTCAATGGGCACTCTTCGTGCTCTCTTGGGCTATTTATAGTTTTTCTTATGTTAGCTGTTATGTTTTTAGTTGTTGTTTGTTAGGAGTTGCATTTGTTGTTGGCTGTATTTTGTTTATCTGCATAATGTGAGTGTTTGGGAAACACTAGTTGGTGTAGTAGTTTACTCAAAGTTGGGTCACTCTAGTTGGTGTAGTAGTTTTATTTAAGTTGTTTAGAGTGTTTGGTTGTGGTTACTCTGTTGTATTAAAACCAGTTGGTTCTTGGATTGTAAGCTTGTACATTATGTGCTATAAAATCTTCTATCATTTTGGGGAAAAAAACAAATAATCTCTCATACTATTACATAATTTATTCTTCTTATGAGTTATTTTGAAAATAATGTTTCTATACATTATGATCGTAATGAGGACAAACAATAGCGATTTCAATTTATTTATAGTTATTAATAAATTTATAAAATTATATAAATATTAATGAAACAATTATCTTATTTGATATGATACTTATGGCCAAATAAACACTCAAATTTTATTGAGAAATCATAAAATCATTTAATGAATCTTAAGATAATATCAATAAATAAAATATTTCATATATAAAATTTTAATTCTCATTGTTTATTTGGCACCATCTTGCTCAACTAGAGTAATAATAATTAAAATATCATGATATATTTTAGTTAATTATTGAATGAAAAAGTTCAAATATTTTATGTGTTAATAATTAAAATATTACTCACTCTGATATTAACCACCTAATGATCAAGTGAAAATACTTTTAAATTTATATTGGCTTTGTGA